TGTATTTTGCTGTATTTTGCTGTATTTTGTTGTATTTTGTTGTATTTTGCTGTATTTTGTTGTATTTTGTTGTGGACTGCTTCTTCCATTGATCATCTACACTGATGCGTGTATTTAAAGGCCAACTCAGATAAAAACTTCCTGTAGTTTTCACTGTACTTCTGGTTCTCCCTCCATATGTTCACATCCATACATCCATGTGTACATACAGAATAATAAAAGTTACTGTAAATATGGAAAAATAAAATTGTCTGCAGTTGCATTTGGCAAAAGTCCTGAAAGCGTCTCCTGAACTGAACTCTAGACCAGAAGCTGCAGCAGCACGTTGAGCAGGAAGAACGTCGATGACTCAAGACTACAAATGACTGGAAACAGCATGTTAAGTGAACTAAGTGCATCATAGGAGCTGCCCCCATGCTTCACCTGATGTGCGTATATCGTGTCGTACATCAGCGTCCACATCACTCCTGAGAGGTACAGCGGGAGACACACGGACCAATCACAGGAGCCTTTGACAGCCGACCAGCCCAGCAGAGCGCCCCAGTTGAAGACGAGCCCTGAAGCGAGCGAACGGAAGGAACGTGAGATAAACTTCAGCTTCAGTGATGGGAATAATGTTAAAGTTATGAAGATGGTTTAATACAGCACTCACCCAACACAAGCTGTGGCCAGTAGGTGATCCTCTTCATCAGCGGGTAGGTGATGACGAGAGATAACGAGGCAGCGCCCAGAGCGATGCTGCAAGAAACAACATGAGCAGTGTGAGTCAAGTAAGCAAATGAAAACACAAATAACTGCTTCTGTCTGCTTTCTTCAATACATGTCTCAAATGTGGACGTTAACACAACTTCAGTAACGCGTCTATAGATGTGAGTGAACAGTGTGAGCCAGTGTTTACTGATGTGTCACTACTGCACTTATTTCTGCAATGGGTGGAGTCAGGGGCAAACAAAGACTTCAAAAATCAATATGTCCCACTTAAAACCCCAAAATGGTGCTGATTGGCTTCCCTGGACACTCAATCATTTGTTCAGTCTTTGCTGTTGTTGTATGAAGCTTCATAAATCTCTACACAGCACTCATGAATACACCGACAGATGTCTGGGTACCTGTAGTAGTTCAGACACAAAAGAACCCCGAGTCCGAGAGAGAGCTGCCCTCCCAGGAAGACCAGCGCCTGGAACTGAGAAATCTCCCCTGATGCGATCGGTCGAGTGGCTGTCCTGGACACCTGCACAGAAACACCGACGCCTTCAATCAGGCACTGCTAACAACACATTTGAAAACTGAACCCCTTGCTGCAACTCGACAGGATGTCTAGTTTTGTAAACCTAAGTGTCACTGACAGCATCTTAGTGTACTGCAGCCTGATAAAGACTGGATTTATACTTGAATTTGTTTGACCAAAAAAGATTTCTCCAGTGGGTGAAATTTCTAATTAAGGTCAGAAAAGACTCTTGATTCGCTGCATAACAACGTGCATGCTGTAATGGGATCCTGACTTGTTCTGCACAAGCAAGTTAATCTGTTTTTTAAATTCACAACATCTAAAGTAGCAGATAATTCACATCTTTTTTACTCATAGTGTTTGCTTTTACTTCTTTCAGTTCAAAAATCAACAAAACATGACATTCTCCCAACCTGTCACACATGGTCTCATGTACCTTTCTGTCGAAGTCTTTATCCCACATGTCGTTGATGGTGCAGCCGGCTCCTCTCATCACCAGACTGCCGACACCAAACAGAGTGAGCATGCCCAGATCTGGCAGGTTCCCCGGTTCAGCAGCCAGAGCGATGCTCCATGTGCACGGGAGGTACAACAGCCACGTTCCTGCAATACAGATGCAACAAAACCAAAGTAAAGATGGATTAATAGATTAGAAATAGAAATGCTACGAGGAAGCTAACGCCTAGCTAAATGCAACGTTTAGCTCATGTAAGTTTGACTATGGGCTTGCTGGGAACGTCTGAGCAGTAAAATAGGAACCAAATATGACCCATCTGTGGGTCTCCTGCAAGTTTAAAGCAGCTTAACAAAGAATATGTGAGCTTCTCTGCCTGTCCAAACACACTTCTGCCTAAAACCAAACAGAAGATCTAGCTTTTTAACTTGTGGACCGCTGACTGTTATTATGCACTCTTTGTGCTGCAGCTTCATGCAACACCAGCAGTGTCCCTCCACTCCAATTACATTCTGTGTTATGTTCAGAGTTGTCTCGACCTGTGAACGTATTTGGAGATGCAGATGTGAAAGTTACATTTAAGATCAAATGTAAGCTCACGTGGCACAAAACAACACAGTTACAGTTTTAAACTAAATTACTACTGAGTCATTTGAACCAATACAGACATGATTATAAGATTTTTCCAAAAACACATATTATAAGACCAAAGATAGAGGGATAACTTCAACTATTAGTTCCTAAAAAGCTTAAGAAATACAGTCATAGATGATGTCAAACACTTAAAACTTTAAATATCAACAGTTTCATGTTTGAATGACTAAAAGTACTAAACCGCCACTACTATTGTTTTTATAAGTAATGAAATGCCAATACCAACTATATCATGTATGGAATCATAATTTAGATCAAGTTATTAAAACTGAAGGTACAGACCGATGGGTTTGTCCAGCCTCATCAGTCTGAGGTACGGCTGCACACGAGCTGGTGCTGAATTCACGATAGCAGCAGCTGATAAACTGAACGGTCTTCTTCCACTGTGTCGTGGTTCACGCCGCCTGGCTGACGGCCGGATTGCACTCTGGCTGTAAAGCAAGAGACCATCCTGTGTCCTCGTTTCTTCCCTTTGGAGGAAGCAGTTTGCCGGTCTGGAGAGGCAGGGATAGCAGCCTCCATGGTGGATCCTCCTCAGGGCCGTCACAGCTAACTGGCCAGTCAGCTTGGCGTGGAGCATGGCGTCTCTCTCTGAGGTCAAACCAGCATTTTCCTTCCTGCTACAACAGCCTTGAACACACACAACAACAGAACTGATTTGCTGCAACAAGCATTCCTTTTGTGCAGCAATGAATCAGCGACACAAAGATTGTAGCTGCAGTGTCGACTGCAGGCACAGGAGGATTACTGGAGCTGCTCCGGTCAGACAGTGTCAGTAAATGAACTAATACAGATGAATACGGTGCAGACATTGACTTTACAATCACAAACTTGACTGAAAAACAGCTTTTTTCCAACTGCGGTCAGAGCCATAAATGCCTCCTTGTCGTGATAAGTGCAACATATTAATATACAACTGCCACTACCTCTGTCCAAGATCCACCCTGTGAAACATACACTGTCCTTATTATTTCATTTCATCTTTTTATATAGTTATATGTGTATATATATATTTCTTTAAAATTGTATATATTTGTTTTTATACGTTGTTTTTGCACTGAAAGGCCTGCACCTTATTTTTCGTTGTACTCGCTGCAATGACAATAAAACGAATCTTCTCGCTACTGCTGGAGGTACAATGAAGTTTAGCTACTAGCCTCATAGCTGAAGCTTAAATAAACTTCTAGCTACTGCTGGAGGTATTTATTCTGCATTTTCTGCAAACGTTCATCAACTTGTCGTGAAGGAAAACTTTGCGACATACCGGCGGGACGAAAAAAAACTCACATTGTAGGAGCGAAAAGCAGCGTTTAGTGAAGTCTAACCAGCACACAGGTGGCTCTTAGGTCACTGCTGCTGCCGCTTCCTTGTTGTGGTCCGTCGCTTATTATTGCCCTGAAGGAAACAACGTGTGGTCGGAACGAATGAGGCTCACGGAGGGGCCGCTTTTCCCGCACGGATTTTTTTAGCTGCAACAACAACAACAGCAATATTTTGTATTAAATTATAGTGATAATACTTATAATAGTAAATAGTATTGTTGTAATAAATAATAATAATAATAATAATGCTAACAATTCTAACTATTATTGATATTATTGTTGTTGCTGTTTAAAGATGAATTTTATGTTAAATAATGAATGTAATGATTATATTTTTTGTTTCACTTTTGCAACACATTTTTAAAAGAAAGATAACAGAAAAATGTGCTGGTTGGATCGATTTTCTTGTCAGTTTTCTTGTCCAGGGTTTATATTCACGAATAGTTTTTAGTTTTTTGGTGTTTTTTTTTAAATATAACGGTTTGATTTTCCCACTGTGACATGATAAAAAATAAATCCAACATATAGGCCAAAAGCTCAACTTACATTAATTTAATAAAGTACACGGTATCTGCCAAGGATATGAGATAATATCCGGGACCCGCAAATGAATGGTAGTTTGTAAATTTTCTAGTGTCACTTTAAGTGAAAAAAACCCTCCGAACCCTAACTACTTCCGGTTAATTTTGCATGTGATTTCAAAATTTAAGCACGCTTTTTTAAAAAGCCAATGAATACTTGTGTTTACACAATACAGTGATTCAGCAACAGTGAACCCATAAAACACGGTTTAATCTTAACTATAATATAACATTATTGCATTGTTATTAATTATTGCTGTGAAGGGAAAAGGGAAATGGTCTCTCCTGTCAGCTAATGTCATCCCCAATGATCCTACAGGTCACTACCTTTGGTCTCTGCTCCCTTTAACCTCCACAGGCCTGGGCCCTGGCTCCACGCTGAGGCCTTATCTTGCCCTAATACAGACAGCTGCTACCATAGTAGGAGGAAGATATGCTAGAACTTTCTGCTCTAGTCAAGGTCAGATTTGTCTGTTTCTAACAATACTGAGCAGACGAGCTGTCTCCATATTGGTCCATAATATAAATCTGGCCCCTCACCCAGAGGACAATCTATACCTAATGATGAGAGAGGATCCTCAGAGCTGAAGCTGGCACTGCCTGCATGAACTACTGCTCTGTTGTTGTCACTTCTCCTGATATCAGTGAACCTTATTACAACATGAGCAATCTGAGTCTCCAGCGTGTCTCTCTGTGTTGGCGTCCTCATCCTCCAAACAGCCGCTCTGATTTCCACAACAAACTGGCATCACCAACAGGATCTCAACAGAACGACGACTGGCAGTTGTATATTTTCTTTTTTTATTTTGTCTGAGTTAGATTCTGGTAAAATGAAAATATAAAGATGTGGAAGGAGCGCTAGCTGGCAATTACAGTGAAAGCGGTGCTGCTAGTTGGCTGCTTAAAAGCAGTTACAGGGATTTGAGTATTTGTCCTGGGTTCGACCTTTTGAGTGGGTGTGATTCGGACTCGACCAAAGGGGACAGTGTGGGAGCATTCCACTGTTTGGGAGGACGTTCCAGATGAATTTTAATGTATTTGACCAACTGTCTGACCTCGGTTTGGCGGGGAGTAAGTCTCAGATAATAAACATTCTGACTAATGTGTGTATGTGGAACAATTCATCAATAAATGGTGATTGCTATAGAATACCCGGATTGAGTTTTTGAGGTTGCAAACAAATCTGTTAAAATTTGGTCAATAAAAAGACATGAGTAAGAGCTAGGGGATGGTGTTATGTACATCCTTTTACTTCTTTGATGAGCTAGTGGACAAAGGATGAAGGTTCCAGGTGATGCTATGAAGGCTTATGTGCCTTCTGTGTGTGTGAAAGTGAGAGTTTCCGAGCAGGCCGATAGGGACAGAGAAGCCTTAGCGAGAGCCAGGCGTAATGATGATGATGTGGTAAGCGGTGTTTGTGCTTTTCAGGACAACAGGAAAAAGAGACGAGCCGCAGAACAAACAAGGCAAGATGCAGAACCGGGAGGGTGAGCCCAGCCAGGCAGCAAAACATGATGATGGTGCCAGGACATCCACACCAGGTGCTGGAGTCAAGTCAGTCTGATGAGTCTGAAGCTGAGGAGCCGCCAAAGACAGTGGTGGTTAAAGCTAAGCTTGATAAAGGACAGGGATAGAACGGGAGATCGAACTCATATCCACCTCCAGAGAGAAGAGAAACTCCCCAGACTATGGCAGCTAAGCTAGGAAAGGGTGCAGGCTCCTAGGATTGTGGTTAGTGATGTAGGCCTTGGACTCCTGCTGAAGCGAGAGATATTCTGCTGAATGCCTCTAGCCCCATAAGTAGTCCTAGTAAGTATTTTACTTGGCTTAAGGTGACTGCTACCCTGTACAACATCTTGGTGCCGGATATGGAAATGCTGTTGAGTTTTACTTACAGGAATAATTAGCTGTAATGTAAAGATAAGTTGTCTACGAGTGGAGAGGGGGGACAGTGGCCTGATGATGAGCCTCTTGACACATGGCTGACTGATACAGCTAAAGATGCTGTTCAGACTAGTGTACGTATGCCAGGTGACTCTTCTAAATTATTTAGCTCTTCTCAGATATGTGGCATAAATCTATGAGTGATGACACCATAGAAAATAGCAAGATGTCTGTGGGGATGTTCATGGCAACGTCATCTACCTCAAACGGCAACCCTTGGAGGTAAAACCCTTTGTGTGGAAACGTTCCCAGTGGTTGTTCTTGGTGTGCCTGGTTGTCTGAGATCTGTGGCTGCTGTTGCAACGCTGATTGAAAAGTCTGTCTCTTTGGTACTATCCAATGGCTGTGTAGTGCATGCTGCCCATTCTGTGCTGCACATTTTGAATGTGGCCGTTACGCAGGACATGTCAGCTGCATGGAAGTCAGTCTGTTGCTGCTAAGCTAACCTTGCAGCAGTGCTTGGGTTACAGTGCACGTTCCATATCATCCACAGATCTCAGGACAGGTGGAAAGAATGAACTCCACCATCCAAGAAAAACTGACAAAAACCAGAATGACGACAGGGCTAAAATGGCCCGACGTCCTCCTGATTGCACTGTGTTCAGTTTGCAGCGCACCAAACACCACGACAAGGCTAGGTTCTCATGAGGTGTTGATAGGTCGGCCTGTTCCCACAGAGGCTACTGCACCTTTGGCCCTCCATTAGGTTAAAACATTTAGGAACCCTTCATTATGGTAACATTGGTATCAATAATAACAGTAATCCGCTGTGTCTTCAGTTCCTCGTATGCTGGCAGCACAAGAAGACTGTTGTGTTCACTCTTGCAGCAGACATTAGAACATTCAGAGGGGCACTGACACATTTTTATCCGTAGCAGAGGCAGCTCTAGAAAGTAAATAAACCTAGTCAGCTGTGAGGTTGCCAAAGTTTGAGCTCGATGACCAGTGGTTAGAGCTGCAAGGGGCCTCGGTGGTTAGCATCGTCTCGCAGCTAGAAGGTCTCCGGTTGGCGTCCCGGTGAGGACACCCGGGATCTTCCTGCGTGGAGTCTCCATGTTCTCCCCGTGCAGCGTGGGTTCTCTCCGGGTTCTCCGGCTTCCTCCCACAGTCCAGAAACATGCTGAGGTTAATTGGTGATTGTAAATTGCCCGTAGGTGTGAATGTGAGTGTGCTTGGTTGTCTGTCTCTAAGTGTAGCCCTGTGATAGACTGGTTACCTGTCCAGGTGAACCTGCCTTCACCCTGAGTCAGCTGGGATAGACTCCAGGCCCCCATGACCCTGGTGAGGATGAAGGTGTAGAGATGATGGATGGATGGATGGATGGATGGACAACTGGTCACTCAGACAGCTGAGTAAAATTCTTACTGCTTCAATAGCTGGGATGCTATTTAGTTAGCATGCTCGCACAGCTTTTAAAGCTTTTTAAAGATGTACAGACACAATAAAAACGGACCCACCCGTACAGGATGTTTCCGTTAAACCCGTCCGTCTTATTTTGAAGGTGGGGGGCTTTGGGCGGAACTGAAGGGCGGCTGCAGTCCGGCGATGTTTGCAGTCGGACGGAAGGAGAAGCCTCACAGAGTGGTACTCGCGGGAAAAATGGCGGAAATGTGTGGTCCCTTTATGCTATCATGACCAGCGATTCAAAACATTGCCTAACAAGCTTCATCGTGAGTTTGTGAGTAAACGATGTGCGCGCACCGGCGGCCGCGCTGCGTTCAGTGTCCCGCTGCGGCCGCTCGCTGTCACTTTGTTCAGTTCGTCTCGTTTCACGTCCCCTTCCTGTTGAACGTGCCTGGCTGCAAGTTAAATACCGAGGCTCAGTTGTTTTCACTGCCGTGTTCTTGCACCGCTGTTCAGTCGGTTTTCTGTCGGTACCTGATCAAACGAGCATTTGTCTTTCTGCGTAAAAGCCGGCGCTGCGGTGAACTTTAACGGTGGCAGCAAAGCAGATGTGTGATGCTGGGTTTGTGAGCGATGCAATAACACATGCTTTCGGTCCTCTAGGTGTGTCACAGCTGTGTCATTCTGCCTGAAGTTTTGGGGTGAGAGAGGAATGCAAGATGCAAAACGGTACGTACCGCATCCAGCTGTCTGTCCAGTGCGTCTCACTCAGGTTCATCCTCATGGCTTCACACTTTTCTTTATGGTTCCTTGAGATTTTTCACCTCTCATCCCAGAGGCTTCTCCAGGTCTAACTAACTGATAGGGAGTACCAGGTATATATACATATGTTCACCCCCACAGACATGTCTAATGGTGGATTAACAACCCCAGACTCGTGCTTGGAGGTGAGCGGTGGTGAAACCTTCTGGGGATGTCAAGACTGCATTACAAGTACCTGATGAGTGCTGGCACCGAGGTGTGTAGGGTGTAAGCCACCGATCGTTTTCATCAGCTTTGTTGATGTTTTCTTCTCTGTGGGAAGCAGCTTCCAGGCTGACCAGCTGATAATCATGCAGTAAGGCAGCCATGCTTGTTTTTAGCAGTGAATTATTCATTTTATTCACAGCAGTTGTCTCTCTGCATGCAAATGTTGCTCTAAAAAAATTGTCTGTGAAGATCCTCAGTCCTCCAGGTCCTGGTTCTCCTGGTAGATTAATGGGAGCAGCTGCTTGAGTTCCTTGAAGACGTTCCACCTTCATCCAAGAGGCTTCATCAGCTCTGACTGACTAGTTGGGAGTTCCACATACTGATATCCTGAAGGAGACATTAACACCTGAGTTTAGGTTTCAGTTGGAGGTTTGTTGCTCCTCCCCCTCATTATGTGGGTCGTTAGTGGGGAGGGGGAGGAGCAACAAACCCCCATTTGAAACCTAAACTCAGGTGTTAATGTCTCCTTCAGGATATCAGGATGTGAAACTCCCATCTAGTCAGTCAGAGCTGATGAAGGTGGAACGTCTTCAAGGAACTCAAGCAGGTCCAGTTGCTACAATTAATCTACCAGAACACTAAAACAATTCCAGTCGTCACTATTTTGAGAAGGTGTCTCGGTGGTTAGCACCGTGGCCTCACAGCTAGAAGGTCGCCGGTTGGCGTCCCGGTGAGGACACCCGGGATCTTCCTGCGTGGAGTCTCCATGTTCTCCCCGTGCAGCGTGGGTTCTCTCCGGGTTCTCCGGCTTCCTCCCACAGTCCACAAACATGCTGAGGTTAATTGGTGATTGTAAATTGTCCGTAGGTGTGAATGTGAGTGTGCTTGGTTGTCTGTCTCTAAGTGTAGCCCTGTGATAGACTGGTTACCTGTCCAGGGGTGAACCTGCCTTCACCCTGAGTCAGCTGGGATAGGCTCCACCCCCCATGACCCTAGTGAGGATTAAGGTGTAGAGATGATTGATGGATGGATGTTTTGAGGAAACGCTCTTAGCTATGACTACGATTGGTTTAAAGAAATACAAACCAACAAATGTTTGGTTCCTTTTGTTCCCGACAGCAGAACGATAACGAAGTGCAGTCACACCGTTATGTTCTGCTTCACTGGATATAGGCGGCAGGTCTGACGTTAGCTGCTCATCTTGCACAGGTCTTTCCTCTCCTTCTGCTGTTTGTGTGTTGCTGTTTTCAAACTCCCCTTCAAACAACAGCGACCTCGAGGCTAGCCGACTGATTCACTGAAAATGTTGAGTTTTGCCATCCAGTCAAGGTGTCCTCCTATTTATTTCCTTTGTGTGTGAATTATCCATTTTAATCGCAGTTCGTCACTATTGTGAGGTAAAACCAAAGCCACGTCCTTGACTTAGCCCCGCCAAAGACAACTGATTGGTTTAAAGAAGTACAAACAGGCCAGAACAATTTCTAACCCTATACCAGAATCATAATGAAGTGAAACCGGACCGTTATGTTCTGCAGAAGGACTAGCTTAAAAATGGCTGTTCCAGTGTAGTGTAGGCGTCTTCCTTCACTCCTCTCTCAAATGATTTGTCTTCTCTGTCCTAAACGAGGACCCTGTTGTCCTCAGATCAGTGACCCTTGTTCTTTAGATCCTGGCGGACTGCTGAGTCTTGTAACATGCATCGTGAAACAGTTGTTTAGTCTGTCTTATGTATAGGTCTGTGCACTCCTCACCGCATTGGGCAACGCAGCTCAGATTGTGTTGGAGTGCTTTGTCCTGGTGGTGAACCAGCCTCAGACTGGTGCTGGCTCTGGTGTGCTTGGAGATGTTGTGTTTGGAGACAATGCTTCTCAGTTTCTCATGTTCATAACTGTTCACATGCCAACGTGTGCAAATCGAGGGTTGTTAATGTGTGATTAGCATAGACTGTATAAAAGATGGACGTAGCAACCGGCCCTGAAACATGAAGCCAACCCGGAAGTGTCAAAAACCTGCAGCATCACTACGTCCACTAGCTGCTGGCTCCACAAAGCCCTGGCTCCCATAGACTGGAACTGGAAAAGAAGTGATCACAGACCACCAAATACTGCATTCCTACAGCTCAGGATTTTGTTTTATTACTTTTCATAGTCAGATCCAGAGATCAGGTGACCAATCTGAAAATAAATCAATACTGAATTTTAAATAAATCGTCAACATTTTGCGGGGCAAGGGGCGTGGCTGGCTTGATTGACAGTCAGCAGCGACCATACAGACGAAGCGAGCAGAAGGCGGTAAATGTGGGCGGGGCAGAGAGGGCCCGCCTCTCAATCCGTCTGACCAATCGCTGCGCCTATGGCTCCGCCCCCCTCCGTCGATTTTGCTCCAAAAATCCAAGATGTCAACCAGGAAGTAGCAAAACCCTGGCTTCATGTTCTCAGTGCAGAACCCGGCGGGTGACGTCACGGTAGCTACGTCCATCTTTTATACAGTCTATGGTGATTAGCCATGTGATATCAGGGTGAACATATATCTGGGACTCCCCGTTAGTCAGGTAGAGCTGAGGTAGTCCACTGAATGAGAGGTGTCTTCAAGAACCAAAAAGAGAAGTTATTTTTAATGCAGTGCATCAAATTAAGGGAGAATTTGACAGTGTTTTTTACTTACCCCTCAGATTCAATGCAGTTTTCCACCTCTTGCCGCATCAAACAAGTCAGCAAACAAGCCGTCCCTCAAGACTCCTTGGTCAAGTCGTTCCAGTGTAGTCACTGTATTCTGATCTTCAAATCCAAGGTGTACCTGTTTGAACACCTCAACAAGGTGCATGGCTTTGATGTAGATGCTGCTCTCACTGAAGCTGGTTTAAAGTACATCAAGACTAACAAACCCAACCCTGACAACAGTACCAGCAGTTCAGGAAGGAGTTTTAAATGCCAGCATTGTGATTTTAAAGCTTTTAGTCGGGACGCATTAGATCAACACGAAAAACTGTGTCAGAAAAACGTAGAAAGTCCCAACTTGGTAGGAACTGTTCCCAACTCATTAGAAACTGTAATCCCTTCTGAAGACCCGGACACCGCAGTAACTGAGACTTCGACAAACCAGCACGATGAAGCCACAGAAGCAAAAGAGATTTCCTCAGTTATGTCTACCTCAAACACTAAATGCTCTACTAACTCAGTAAAGGATCTGAAAACATACAAGAGGCCATTGCAAACCATCACCAAGTACTTCACAGCATCGTCTGGGTCAAATGGGAAGTCACCTGCAAAGGTGGCCGATGGCACCAAAGGAACCCTGATTTTGCAAGACTCTCCCTCAAGCTCCAGCCCAAACAGTAGCGGCGTGTTTAAAGTCACCGCAAAGTCCATGATCGATATCTCCAAAAAACAGGTTGACCATTTCCTGAGAAATGACCAGCTTTTGATGACTGACTTCACATCGCTGAAGCCGAAGGAGCATTTAAGCGAAAGACCTCCTAACAACGCTAGCAAAAGGCCCAATAATGAAAGTTCAGAAAGTTGTCCAGCTAAAAAAGCAAAAGTAGATAAAGAAGAGACTTGGATCCCAGAGAAAGAACATAAAAGTGACCAACTTTCATTAAGTCGTCAGTTTTCATTTGATATCAGTGATGATGAAGAAGAAAGGGGTGATCTGGTGAATGGAGACGCAGAGAGCACCGACGTTTACGCCTGTAAGCACTGTGACTACAGGGACGTCGGCCTGAAGCGTCTGTGTGTCCATTACCACGACAACCACCCCTACGTCAGATATAATGCCGTCTACATTCAGGACGCTTATGATCAGAGCGCGACCTTTCGCTGCCTCCAGTGTCCAGTTAAGTTTTTAAGCACAGCTGACCTCAAGTGGCACTACATGGAAAACCACCCAGAGGCTCCAGATGTGTTCATGATGACATCGTCTCAGCTCAATTTGGTTTTCAGATGTTTTGTGTGTCCATTTACCGCCAACGCAGTGAGAGTCCTGAAAGAACATTACATAGAAAAGCACCCGGCACATAAAGTGGACAGTTCCTTGTTCTACTGCCGATATTCTGTGACTGAAGGGCAGGAAGAAACATCTTCATGTGGTTCCCGTGAAAAAACAGCCCATTCAGAAAGATTAGCAGAAAGATCTCCTGAGAGATCCCGTACACCGTGTACAGAAGACAAAAATGCAATTCCACCCCAACAGCCCACCTCCAGAGGAGCAGACGTGGCCTTGTACACTTGCACCAACTGTACGTTTAGCCACAAGTCAGTCATTGTCATGCATGTTCACTACCAAAAAAGCCACCCAGGTGAGGAAATTACACTCCAAAAAATCAAACAGTCAGCTTGTGTCACGTCCCCCGCAGCATCAGAGAAGACATCTGAAAAGTCTTCAAATTCTGGGGCAGTAACGGAAAACTCTGCACCTCCAAAGAACATCTCAAGCTCTTCAAAGAAGTCAAAAGACAAAGCTGAGGTGACGCAGCAAAAGAAAACGTCGTCACTCGTGGAAAACCCTGAATGCAAAGTAGAAGCGTCTGAAAATAATACTGCGTCTTCCGTAACTAAGAAAGTGGAGTCTGTGAAGGACAGGAGCAAGAGAAAAAAGTTTTCCACCAAATATGACTTGGAAGGAAGGATGGACAGTTTGTCGTCCAGTTCATCGGATAGAATATTTTACTGCCAGTTTTGCAGTTACAGTAGTGTCAGTGTCAGAAGTGTTGTTGGTCATCATAATGCAAAACACTCTATGGATGCACCAATAGGGACTGATGACATTGTGTGGTACAGTGCTGAGGTGCAGAAAATGAAACTTGAAATGAAAGCCTCAAAAAGTCCTCCACCCTCTCATTCTAAAACCAGCGAAAAAATGGAGGCGTGCAGTGAAACTAAAGTTCAGGATAAAGAGGACACTGAGGCAGATGCTTCTGTGGCACAATTCAATCCTTATGCGTGTGCAGAAAACCTGTTTTACTGCCAGAAGTGCAACTTTGGAAATCCATCTGTAAAAGGAGTAATTAACCATCAAGCCAAAACTCACCAACGCATTAATACCAGCCGTGAACTAGTTCTGGAATACTCGGCGTCAGTTCATGCGGAAATTAAAAAGTCAAAATCCAATGCAAAGGAGTTCTCCTTCTTCACTGATCTACCTCTTCCTCTCATGAATGCCGGCGACGAACGTATGTTTTTCTGCCACTTCTGCAACTACAGAAGCAGCACTGTAAAAGACGTGCTGCGCCATTACTCCAAAACACATCGTGGGTTTGAGATCAGGACCACGCAGATCCAACTGTACACTTCTATGATTCTGAGACGGACACAAAAGTCACACCTGAGACCAACTGCAGAGCCAGAAGTTAGTCAGGAACCACCAGAGAAACTGGAAGTTAGCGAGAAAAAAACATCCTCCTCCCCGCCGTCAGTGGAAGCCTCGCAACCTCAGAGGACCCTCCAGTGCTATAGATGCTGTTACAGTACGCCATACGTATATCTTTTGAAGAAGCATATAAGGAAGACTCACCAGACAATACGCTCAGTCACAGAGGTTTTAAGAGTGTACTTTAGACGAGGAATACTGCAGTCAGGCTACCACTGTGAGTTTTGCGTTTTCTCTCACGAAAACGCAGCAGCAGTCTACAAGCACTACCGGGAAAAACACACGGGTTCTAAGACCAGCTTCGAGTACATCAGTAAACGGTTGTATGTCGGCCCCAGTGTAATTTTTCCTAAGAGGAAGAAGCCGAAGCTGATGCACTCTGATGGCATTCGTGGTGGTGATGCTCATGATGGCAACTTGACATCCCAAAGACCTGGACAAAAGGAAACGTATTCGTGCCGTGCTTGTGCTTTCAAAGGTAGCTCGATGTTGAGTGTTGCACGGCATTACCGGGCCGTTCACGCTTTGTCTGCAAAACAAGAGGACGTGGATCTCCTCCAGAGCAAGAAGACCAGTGCAGACAGCCAGAAGGAAGACCACGATGAAATGCCTGAGTTATTTGATTCCTACCAAGTGCCTCTTGAATTTGACAAGTCATCCAGTGAAGCAATGTTCAAGTGCCTTTTCTGCTCCTCAAGTTTTGCTACCAAGCATGGCCTCAGCGTTCACTGTGGAATAAAACACAACGAAAGTGTACCTGCAGATTCAGAAGAAAAGCAAAAACCACCAGTGCAAACTGACTCACGCGTGCATGTCTTTAAGTGTCCATATTGTACCTACGTCAACACCATTTACCAAGGAGTTCTCACTCACTGCCAGATGAAACATCCAACCCTCCAGTCCAGGGCCGACAGCCTCCACGTGGACTCGACATACGTACAAAACTTGGATGACTGCTCAAAAAAGAACGGTCCTGGTGAGTCCGTGCGATTTAGCGGGCACATGTGTGAAAGCTGCCCACAAATCTGTGCAACGCTGAACAAACTCAGCAAGCACTGTGAGAAGGACCACGACGGCGCCGTGGCTGGCGGTGTGCAGAGCACGCTCACACCGTCAGCCGTCAGCAAAATAATGATATCCAAGTCCTACAGCACTCAGGGATCCGTATCGAAGGCTTCCTTTCTAAGTAAGAAAATAAATGCCATACTTCGGTGCCAGCAGTGTTCTTATTCCTGCAGAACGAAGCCTGAGCTCAGTCGACACTTGCGTGTTCACCACAAGAATGCCATTTCAAAGGATCGCGTGTACAAGTGCGTCCTGTGCTCCAAAATCTATTTTATGACGAAACGTCTTGCAGGACATTATGCTAAGAAACACGGAAAGGAAGCCTACCTGAAATACTACATACCCATGTACAAGCAGGGTTTTGAGAAGCCAGTGCCAACATCACCTGACCGCACGTCACCTCAGCAACCACAAGACACCTCTGAGCCGCCTGATTCAAACACAACCACGGATGAGAACAAAATATTAGTGTACAGATGTCCCAGCTGTCCATATGTGAATGCCAGCTACCATGGAACTTTGACTCACTGCCAGATGAAGCACCCAGCGGTGATCGCCAGAGCAGATGAGCTTCAAACGACGGAAATACTTCTAACCAACATGGTCAGGTGTACAATTGGAAAAGGCTCCAATGAACGAGGGTACAAGTGTAAGAAATGCCCACAGATTCATGCATCGTTGGGAAAATTGAGAATCCACTGTGAGCGGGACCACGGCGGGGCGGCGGTTTTCGAGGCGTCGCCTGACACTGAACCCGTTCACGACTCTCAGGCCTCGGTACCAGAAGCCGTCTCTTTAAAAGACGAAACATCAGAAGTGAACATCACAGAATCTGAAGACAGTTTTCAGCCTGACACTCCTGCTGAGACATGTCAGTCAAACTCGCCGCCAGCGCCGAACAAAGGACGATTGTACAAGTGCCGCATGTGTTCCTACGCAGGATCGTGTCGGAAGTACCTGTACTGTCACTTAAAAAAGACTCACAAACTGGATGCACTCAGCACATACAGGCTGCTGGAGAGTTACAACAAACGTAAACGCAAGATGCCCGGCGAGCTGACTGTGGCCGCCGAACCCGAGGAAAGTGCAAATGTCAAATGTAAGATGTGCCCGGACTTAATGTGGGACTCACCGCAGTTGCTTCTTGATCACTACAACACTTTTCATGGCTTGGACTGCAAAGTGGACTTCACTGTGTTGTCGAATGGATCACAGAAGAAGAAGAGCACAGGGATTTACAGATGCTCCCACTGCGCGACAGTGTTATATGGAATTAGGAAGCTTGGCCCTCATCTGGACCGTCACGCCCCAGAGAGGAAAGAGAACACGATGGCGGCAAAGAGACATCCATCTCTCGTCATCACTCCGAAACCGGAGCCCAAATCCGTCCAAGTAAGTCGACTCTCCCACGCTGCCCATTTACACTTTTGATCTTTTGCAGTTGAATCTGATCACGTTGACTGTGTTTTCTCTTCAGGTTAGCGGGACAGATGAGCTTCCCACCCTGGAGACGGTGGAGGAGCTCACCCGGTGGAACGTGACCCCAGTGAAGACCTTCACTTTGCCCACCAGTCCTCAGCTGTCACCTTCAAAGCTCCCGGACGCAGAGCAGCTGGAGGTGGAGTCGAGAGAAGACGAGCACGCTTGTCAGCAGTGTGGGCGCACATTCAGGTCAATGAAAGGTCTGCGTGCACATGTGCGCAGCCACGCAGCCCTGGCAGCTATCAAGAAACTGAACAAGCCGTCCACCTCAGCGCTGAAGATCAAGTAAGAAGACACTTTGACCATTTTTTCAATTCAGTCCCTAATTCTTATCTGCAGATTGCATGCAAGTGAATCAGAAGTTTACGTCAAATAAAACCTTTAGCGTTGCTGTGACGGGGTTTCCTCTGCATGCAGGTGGTTTTGGTGCAAGACAGATTTTAGCCAGCGCCAAAACTATGGAGCAGTGAGAGCGCCAAATTACCAAAGTAAAGCAATAAGAGAATAATAAAATAAAAGTGGAAATAAAAAGAAGAATAAATAAAATTTAAAAATAAATATGAAGCAATCTAAATCAATATTAATCAAAAATTAATCCATAAAAAAAGGCTAATAAAAGTAGAAATATAAAGACAAAAAAATAAAATAAGAAAAATAATAATAATTTTCAAAATTTATTTTATTTATTTGTATTTATTTATTTATTGTTTTAATTTTTAGTTATTTTATTTATAAATATTTTATTATTTGTCATTCATTTTTTAAAAATAATTTTTTACATTTTTGTTTTTTTATTTATTTTTTATGATGTCGCTTTAAAAGCAAAGGAAATGTGCGCAGTAGGAATGTCGTTTTTCTTTTAAAGCACACTATAAAAAATTTAAAAATTAAAATATATAAATAAAAAATATAATAAAAGATAAATTGTTATTATTTGTATTATTTTATTTATTTGTCTTTATATTTCTGTTTTTATTTTATTTTCCTTTTCTGTTATGGTTTAATTTTTATTAATATCGCTTTATACTGCCACATTATTTATTTTTCTTTTTATTTCCACTTTTATTTTACTATTCTTTTATTGATTTATTTTTGTAATTTGGCGCTCTCACTACTCCATAGAAAATGATAAAAATTCATAATATTAAAAAAACATTTTTTTAAACCAGTTTTATTAAGGTATTGTTGGGTTTAATTTACTTAAACATAAGAGATATTTTTGTTCATGAAATGGATAAAGTTTACAGTAAAATGCACAGATTCCAGTTAAATGAGGTAACAGAGACTCAGCCTTTACTCTCCATGTACCGGCCATGCTTACTGTACGTAGTCACCCCCAGACGCTGCTCTGACCCTGAACGCACCCCCATACAACCATCCCCTACAGTACAAGCTACTAAAGGTTGTTGTAAAGGCTCCATTTGGACTTGGGCATATGAGTTCTCCATTTGTCTGCTGAACTCCAGGCGTTTGTTTTATTGTTTTTTTATTAATTTGAACACTTTTTTCTCACCAGCATTAACAAATTCATCATCCACAAATCTGGAACTGTGAAGCCTTTCCTGTGTGGCTTGTGTTCCTATCGGACCACCGTCATGGGCCTGTGGAGGAGCCACTTTATGAAGAAACATAAAGGTGAGACGTCCACGTATGATCATATGACAGTTATCACGAGTGTCATGGTAGAAATGACAGATGTAGCAGCCAAACTCTGGACTTCACCATCGAGTGCAGCCGGTTCACTCAGCATCACACCCATTACGGTGGTGTGGAAATTCTGGAGGAGGCTGATGTAGGATGAGGAGGCCGACACACAGAGACTCAGATGACTGAGGTTGAAATAAGGTTTACTGATCAGGAGAAGTGACGCCAGCAGAGCAGCAGTTCACACACAACGCCAGCATCAGCTCTAGAGACCTCCTCTCACACCTTCAGTCTTATGTCCTCCTTCAGTGGGAGAGACGAGATAAGTCGGCGTCTGGGTATCATCTGGCCTTGAGAGGTGCAGCAGAACCTGATAGTACACAGAAATGCCTAGAACTCCATGTCCAGACTGTCAATGGCAGCCGCATTCCCAAATGTTTTGTTTTGCAGACTTCAGTCTGAATTCTGCAATAAGTAATGAACACTGGTTGGAAAGAGGCGGCGCTCACGTACACCTCCTACGATGAGGTTTACGTGAGGTCGAGAATCTGTAGACGTCACAGAGCGCACATCTGACCTCAGGAGGTCCATTCGGTATCTCCTCTAAAAGATTAGCTCCAAACAAGGAAAGTCATTTTTCCATCACACAGGAGCTGCTTTAGGAGATCTCCTCTGAAGCTGTTCTGTCTTTGATTCCATGTCACTCTGCTGCTCAACATCCAGATGTTCTCATGGATCCGGCTGAGGCTCACTGCGATGATGATGAGGAGAACGGCCAGTGGACCGACAAGGACTCTTCTCATGTGTCAGAGGGTGTCAACGGTTTCCCTGAATTCGATGAAGAAGCTGAACTGGCTGAAGGCAGGTCATCCGTTCTGTGTTTTATAGAGTATAGTACCGTGTATATTAAACACACTCTGTGCTCTGGCGGCCGTACTGACCGACTGGCTCCTTGTGCTTGGGCAGAATCGATGTACCTGGAGCCTCCAGATGTGCAGCGGCAGCTCAACCACTACAACTTCATGGCGCGGAGCAGCGCCAGATCTAAAGCCAGCGTGCACGAATCAAAGTTACCTGAGAACAGCGTGTTCTACTGCGAGTTCTGCAATTTCAACTCTGGACACCTGTCCAGCATCAGACGGCACTACGTCAGCCGGCACGGCAAGAAGATCTTCAAGTGTAAAGACTGCGACTTCTTCACTGGTTTGAGGTGAGCTGCAGCCGCGCTGAGGACACGTTTCTGGAATCAGTTCATGTTCTTCATCTCATGATTACACTTCAGTGTGTTGCCATAAATCAGCTGCTTGTACCGTCAGGAACATTCACAGAGTTGACACACCTTAAACAGGTGAGATGTGCCGTTACAGCTGCCGCTATGACATGAGGCAGGAGCGTAGGAAGGACGAGTGTTTCTAAAAGACTCCCGCGTTTATTAGAGCATTGTTTGGCTGCTAGACCTTCGTTAGGCTCGTCGTTGGCTTTTTTAACTGAACATGTAGTATCTAAGGAACAGTTACACAAACACACGAACAAGAATCTGCCTCTAAAACTCATCATCGTTCAGTTCACGCTCCTGACATGTGTAGAGTCGTACAGATAGTTCATCCAGGTAGGACAAGGTGCGTCTGTCAGTTGTAGGTAAAAAGTCTGACTTTCTCTTTCACTGTGGGATGTTTTGAGAGGACTCAGTCCAGAGCAGTGGTGACTATAAACCATCATCATCATCATCACCGCATGCAGCTGCACCGTTTGGCTCAGCGAGCTGTCAGCTTTACTCACGTTAATGAGTTAGCTGAGGTCAGACTGTCAATCATGATACAGTAAATGGATATTTAATATGTATTATAATTATAGAAGGCTGCAGGTGTCTCGGTGGTTAGTTGTCGCCTCACAGCTAGAAGATCTTCCTGCGTGGAGTCTCCATGTTCTCCCCGTGCAGCGTGGGTTCTCTCCGGGTTCTCCGGCTTCCTCCCACAGTCCAGAAACA